GTTTGATATCGGGAAGAATTTTAAGGCAAAAACCCGTGAAGAAAAGCAGGCGATGCAATAAAAACAAACTGAGGTTCTCCCTACCAATGAAACCATTTCGTGTAGCGATTTTGAGGAAGAAGGGTCAAGCCAAATACCGGATCAAATTTGTAGTGCAACCTCAATTGAAACATCATCACAAAACGACAGCCAGGCTGGGTCAGTGTACTCGCCTAGTACATCCGAAAGAGCTTCTCCAAAAACAGGTACGTTGTGATGTTTTACTAATGTTTTTTTTTTCTTCTAGATTATACACCTATTACCATCCATATTAATATATTTTGAAATATATGGCAAAGTATAAAACAAGTATTTTTCATCTTTTCCGGCAAATGTTTCTCTTGTGTAAAACTCATGAGTCCCAAAAAAAAAAACAGATTAACGCAATTCAAAATATATTTTACAATTGATTTTAGGAATTTATGATGAAAAGTTGTGGTTTTTCATATATTTTTGAATTTTTGGACCACCCTAATGAAGAATAATTGAACCCCTTTAGTGAATTATTTCGTATTAGATCCTATATGGTGGTTTAATTCGATATATAAGCAGGTTGGAGACAATTGTGAACAGTTTTAGAAGCCGATTCATCTATCTTCTAAAATTGCATATAGAACTTCCAAAATTTTTTCGAGATAACACCAAATCTCGACGTTTCATGCATTTTTAAGATATTTGGCATCAAAAAAAAATTTTTGATTTCCGAAATTTCATGTACTCCTTGGGAGATTTTTGAGAGTGAAAAAAGTCAAACTTTGACGCGTTTGCGCCACCCCTAAATCATGTCCGATTGAGCTCAAATTTTGCATAGGGTCATTTTTCGAGGCAATAAACATTTTGTATATGGTTTGTTAGCGAAATTAAAAACTACCATTTTCGCTGGCAGTCTAATGAGCATCCTTTGATGGAGGAAGAAGCCGCACCACTATTGATCGGAATCAGTAGCTCTTCGTGAGTTGCTGTGGGTCATCTATGTGAAGTGCGTCATACTAAAGAATAAAAACAGAGAGAAACCCGCTCAAATTCATAGTCCTTCACAAAACACAAGCTCCTGCTGCAGTCAACAAATAAGATGTATTATATAAGACCACGTAGTCCTACGTCACCATTGCGTTCAACCAACAATCAATACGAAACTATCGATTTTAAATTGGCTCACTACTTTGGTCCCAAGCAAATCAACTAACATATCCCATTCTAGTTTAAATTCCAGTGCTACACTTTGTTTGTTTTGATTCGTTATGAAAGTTTGGCAGATAAAATGAGGTGTTCGTGGATATTCTTATGCTTCGAGGGGTGCATCAATTACCTTGGGACCGAAGATAGTACCAGAGCTGAGCCAAAAAGTTGAGCTCGTTTTTTCGGGACCTTCTGGTCTTAGAGTTACCTCTATGGTACAACCCCATAAGGCGGTCCCTTGTAGTTTTTTAGTTCAAGTTTCTCATGAAAGTCATGTCTGAAAGACATAACGATTCTATTCACTTGCTTACCAAAAATCCAAATATTGCTAAAATTTCACCAAAACGCGGACTTAGATTGATAATACTATACCAAACAACTTTATTTACGTTGCAACCCACCCTGTTACCGCGAGGCAATTAATTTAAAACCAAAACCATAAGATAACAACATAGTTGCATCTCGTTTGCATAGCCCTAGCTGACGTTGATACCAAGGCCAAGAATATGAAATGAAAAGTACGGCAAAAGGAGCGAGAGCTCGTTTTACAATCTAACTGCAGTATTTACTCAGGAATGTTTCTGCGTTCAAGTGGGATAAACACGCCCACGCATGGCATGCTTGCACATCTAGGTTAAGTTTAGCTTTCCCTCTCTGTTTATCCTTAACGAAGGATATAATTATAATGTTTAAACGTTACAAATGTCACGTTCTTATTTGTAGAGCCATATCAGATCTGAGTTACAAAAATAAATAAACTAACAAGATATCTGAGAAATCCCAGATCTGAGAGGGCATAGTATATAAGGTCTAAACAACACAAATTTACCTTTTCAAGGGCGATCGGAATCCTAGCTAATTAGAATAGGAAAAAATAGGTTAAAGTTCGGTATTGAAAGGGATATGTTAAACCCTGGACAAATCATGTAAAAGTTTTACATAGTTATAAGTTGCTAATGCAACACATAGCCGTAAGATCACTTTGTATAATTTTGTTGAATAAAATTAAGTTTCGTAGGTTACTCCAGATTCTTCTCTTTTTGAATCCAAAAGAACTTTCGGCCTAGAAGTGAAAACTTCTCTCCTTAACCGGAGAAAAAATAGCTCCTAGAAGAACTCTTGAATTGGAAGTGAAAACTTTTCTCCTTAACCGGAGAAAAAAGTAGCTCCTAGAATCGAGAAACAGTGTCTGACCTAGTAAGCGAAAGACTCTCCCTAACCGGAGAAGAAAGTAGCTTTTGGCGGCGACACACCCTAATGTACATACCTGCACAAATGGTCATGAAAACAGCAAAATTTAACAAAACATTGAGGTACTTTATTAGAAAACCCATTAGGCATCCTCTTGGACCCCCCTTTGAGTTGTACATATATGTAATAAGTTGTTGAACAAAATAACGTTGAGATTAGCTTCTAATATCTGCTAACCTACACGATACACCCCCTTAAAGATAGAGATAAAAATTATAAAAACGGACGTAAATCCTTAAAACGATACCCATTTGTTTCCTTAAGAAAAAATATCAATTTTATGAGCCATTAAGACATTGTAGAACATGGAACAAATTGTAAAAGGAAAAAAAAAACAATTGGTAAAAAACGGGTTTTAAGGGGGTACTACCGTTTGTACTCGATTTTCACCCTATAACTTCGTCCACTTGTTACACAAAGTTACTTAAAATGACTTCATCTACAATGTTTTCATATATGTTCATCAATTTTTACAAGACCTTAAAAAGTTATTTAAAAAAATTTAAGCTTTAAGCAAAAAATTTTACCACTTAAATAAATAAAAGAAACACTCTAGAAGACATAAAAATGCTACACTTGATAGTTTCGTTGCAAATGGCCATGTCCCACTTTTTTTTATTTCGTCCCACTGTGCCACGGCGTATGTACTACAAAACTTAGCAAACCACTCACCAAATGATATCTCCAAGACCATGGCGCTCATACTCATTGCAATGAAAAATTAGATGAACTATACGTTATATTCGGGGTCCACATGTAATACGTATATTTGTTATAGGTCAGGTAGCACAGTAGTCAAATTTTATAACGATAATCATGTATTTAGACGAGCACTCCCCACTGTACAGAGCACCCTCGATAAATTGGTGCCCTTCCATAATCAGAAGGTTTCCTCCGCCTATGCTCATAATCAAGTTCAGTGCTTGGTGAACTTTTGCAAACTTCCTCCAGTCTTCCTGATGTCAATGAGGTACAGACAGAGGTGAAGCAGATCGTGAAATATGGTTGTATTAGTAATCCAAAAATTCAACGTAAACCCAAGTAGTGACGTCACTAATTGCTTGTATCGTACATGGGGTTTTACTCACACAACTTAACCGATTGCTTCACCTCGGTAATCCAGCTCATTGTCCTGATGTGTGCTCACTTCACATCTACACTGTGACCCAAGGGACCATAGTATAATCAAAAATGGTAAAATGTGTCTGTCTTAGAAAAATAAAATCCACAGTGTTTTCATAAGTGCACCCCAAACGACAGAAGTTCTGTCAATATTTCCATCAATATTTTGATGACAAAATGTTTAACAATATTTTCGATGGGTCATCAATACAGGGTCACTCCTCACGAACTTTGTTGTATCAGATGGAATATTCCGAGTCAAGTCACAACCACCTTGACAAAAGTTGCCGAAGAACAGGTCCCATCTGGTGCACATCAATATTTACATCAATATTTTCTTCGTCAGTATTTGCATCAATATGATTATCAACACTTTGGACGATTGACTCGTGTGGTGCTTACTATAAAGTTATCTTATGAAAGATTACTGTTTCTCGCTATTATCGGTAATGTAACTTTGACAGTTAGACATTAGACTTAGCTGTCACTTTACCGCAACGCGTCAGATCTGAATTTATTGTGAGTGGCCCTTAAGCGTTGACCTATATGAGCTCGCTCATGGTTCGATTCTAATCTGCTTTATTTTATAGTACTTTTAAGGACCCATAAGCTGACTAATGAAATTAATACATTCTTGGATTGTGAACAAGCATATGATTCATAAGGCAAATTAACGAAATTCAAATCGATTTCATGTTGCTCAAAAGCATACACACCAAAAAATTCTGAATTTTACTGGCGATGTAAACATCCATGCATGCAAATATTCATACATGTAAACTTCCTTTTCACGTAAACTAGCAACTTGCAAGAAATGTTGCAAACAAAAGTGGACAGTTGCATACAATATATGGGATATTGCATGACATGTCTCATAAATTTACACGATCTATAATCTAAAATTGTATGATATATGACGCTCCATTTATGTGCATCATAGTAACGGAAATTTACACTACTTTTTTTAGCTGTGTACCCTTCCTTCTTCTTCTTCGCATTTCAAGCTTATTGCATATCGCATATTAGCTTATTGCGTGCTCTCAACTTAGTGTTCTAAATGCACTTCCACAGCTATTAATTGAGAGCTTTCGATGCCTGTACCATTTTTGCATTGGTATAATTGTGTGGCAAGTCCAATCATACTTCTATGCCCAGGGAAGTCGAGAAATTTTCCAACCCGAAAAATTCCTAGACCGGACCGGGAATCGAACCCAGCCACCTCCAGCATGGTCTTGCTTTATAGCTGTGCCTTTACCGACTGAGCTAAGGGAGGCCCCAAAGCATACCCTAGTTAACCTATTTCGCTAAGTGTTTACAGTAGAAATTTTGCTACCTGATCTAATCATTTAATTGCCTAGCATAGATAAAACCACCAAAACCACAAAACACACCATAATTTATTTACTCACCACATTTGATTAGTAACAGCATCAGGTAGCTCAGCAAAACAACCGCAAAGCAGCTGATATGTTTCTCGACTGTGCCCATATTTTCACCCTTTGTTCGTCTGTTCGTACTCTAATTTGCACTCGAATTTTCTTTCGGCACTGAACCCACCGGTAGTCTACACCCACTACGTAGCATCAACGACTAATTTGAAGACCGTAATAAAATTAAATTTCTTTCCTGTTTCCAAGGATTCCACGTTGTTTCTTTTCTAATTAAGATTCGGTATGTTTACACTTCTATGTTTGCATGCATTTCCCTCTCATCACCATTATTGTAACGTCGTCGTCGTCGTAGTCGTTGGTGTTCTGTTGATGATGTCGTACCGGAGAAAGGTTTCCCGGGAACATGTCTACTACCGGCTTGGTTTAACTCATTTGAGTCCGCTTTCGTCACTGTACCGCAATTTCCTAACGTCCCTGAGGGAGAAAGAGGTTCCGAAATAAAGCTACTGTGTCCGAAGTTACTTGTACTTTGGGTTGCTTTTGTCTAACAGCTAGGTTGATGGCTCACAGCTTAATTTATTATCCAGGAGAAAAAAAAACATGATTTAAGGGCACATGTAGCTATGGAAATCTGCAAGCACGGTTGGTACGTATCTCCATGAAGCTTGTCCTTTCTGCTGACAAATTCAACACGACGTTGTGTTCACCGAGATTTTTTGTTGTTCACAGCGCAGAACACCCCTGAGTCTTGTTAGGTCAATTCCAGTCAGCAATAAACTTCCAGCTGGTTCGGCATTGCCCACGCTTTCATTCACGCGTCATAATCTTCCGAAATGGATTCCAACGAGATTTCACGCGTCACAGTATTCTCGTAGCAGGCTCCATTCGTAACATTCGGAACAGCATACCGGTGACAGCACGCGTGGCAAGATTCAGTGATCATGAAATTGAATTTGTCGGTTGAGTGAAGTACTGCCCCGCCCCGCAGAGCTCGGCGGTGAACCGTCTAGCTGGCCGTCTCTGCTGATGATGAATGATGGTTCTGGAAATGAAAATATGGGAAAAGATGAGGGAAAGAATATTACAGAATGCTCCACCTTATTTTCTACATACTTCTTCGGTGAAACCGGACATGTGTTTTAGTGACATATAATTGGCCTATGTTCACGTGATATGATTGATTAGGTGTGTGTGTGTATGTGAGGCAATATAGAAAATCGAAATACCGTTGGAGATTCATTTGTTTTAAAGAGACAAGCAGCCACAAACTTAGTTAGTTGGCCCAACATTATTTTACCAACAGGTCAACTTTTGAAGGACGTAGGTCCAGCAAATGTAAGTAAAGTATGCTTCAAGAATCCTAATTCATGTTAAATCGTGTTGTGTATTATAAAACCTAGGAAATGTACCTGAAATCATTAAAATCGATAGCAGATCAATTATATTACTACATACTTGACTGCGTAGCTGATCATGTTTATTCTCAACCCTCATTTTAAGTTGAAGACTGTAACGATGGATATTCGAAAAAAATCAACCCCTTGTTTTTAGACATCATAGTCGTGTGGTTAGCGGCGTCACCATTTGTGTAGGCGTATTGTGTCTGGTACGAAGTCAAGGTTCAATGCGCGCTTTCGCCTATGTTTTTTGTTGTTCATGTGGAAACTAATTGTGTTTCAAAGACAATAGTTAAGGGAACATTCATAAATGACGTAGCATTTGAGTTGCGGAGGGGGGTTTCATACGTTGTGACCGGCCATGTATTAGGGCCAAAATACGGTGGGAGTGGGTAGGAGGAGGGGGTTTAAAGACGGTCACAAATGTGTGTAAAAAAAGACCTGAGTGTACTTGCCACACAATTATACTAATGCAAAATTGGTACAGGCATCGAAAGCTCTCCATTAATAATTGTGGAAGTGCACCTAGAACACTAAGTTGAGAGCCCGCAATAAGTTTGAAACTCCAAGAAGAAGAAGAAGAAGAATAATGGTTCGTACTTATGCGGGAGGGTAGAAGAAAATATCTCAGTCAGACAAAATTATGATCTTGGTACCAAAAAATGATATAGATTAGCATGACATGATAGGTAAAATATCAAGAATCAATAACGTTTGCATTAAAAAAATGGACTTTTTTTAGATGGTGATAAAAAAAGCTACGACAGATAATTTCTTTTGATAAATTTCCCATGGAAGGTAATTATTTAAGCTTACTTGCAAAAAAAATCTACCCCCTCGCGAGCGGCCTTCCGGCAGTTAACCGGAACATACGCCATAGTGGACGAAAACATGCGTGTAGGCATGTTTTTGAGTTCTTTCTTCGTTTTATTAATCAATTCCTCCTCAGTTTTCGCGGCAACATTGTTGGAGTAGATCTTACGCTTTAGGTTGGCCCAGAAATTCTCGATGGGGGACGTTGGGCGGGTTCGCCGACTTGGGTACCACATCGATATTCAGCCACTCCATCTCCTCCAACGATCGTTTCGAGTAGTGGGCCGACGCCAGATCCGGCCAGAACACCGCGTCTTCGCCCTTATGGTTTTTTTTTTATGAACGACGCAACTTCCGGCAGGCATTTCGTACTATAAATTTCCCCGTTCACGGCCATTCCGGAGCGAAAGAAGAGCGGCTTTGACATCCCCTTCTCGCTGCTTGTCAGCCACAGCAGCACCTTCTTGGGGAATTTAATGTGTGCAATGAACTTCACCTCGGAGCTCACTTCCTTCGTGGGGGAAGTAAAATACGAAGTGCCCTCCCGAGCAAAGTGTGAGATCAAATTGAAATCTAAATTTGATGTTGTGATTTCGCTGATAATGATTACTCAGGTTGTTGTCGTATTGGTCGTTTTAACGGTTAAAATATCAAAATTGAGAGCAAACATATCTTCCTGTGATATCACATTGAAAACTATTTCTGCTATCAGTGAGAGCAAACTGAAAACCAAATTTGCTATCCATTTTTCCTGTTGATAACAAAACAAGTATTCAATGTGATGTTATGCAAAGGCAATGAAAACAAACCCATAACAACATATTTTTAAAGAGTAAATGTGCAGCAAAATGAAAACAAAATTTGGTATCAAATTTGTCAATGTGTAAACTGAAATCAAATTATGATTTCAGTTTGATGTTGATATCAAAACTTGATTTCAATTTGCTGTCATTTTGATGCTGGACTTCGCTCGGGCTGCCAGTCGTTGCCATCCAGGGTAAGATAGGTCTCGTCGTCCATCACCATCTTATTCAGCCGCTGCCGCTGCGTCATTGCCTGCAGCTCCGAAACCAGTGGACGTGACTTCCGCTTCCTGACATGTATGTTCATGTTCGCCAGGTACTTTTTCACTGTTTGGCCGGTTGCACTGACCTCCCGGCCAAGCGCACGCAGCGATGTAGCCACTTTTCCCTCGGTCTTCCTCTTCAACATCCTTTAGAGCTTCTTGTCGCTCAGGGTCGTCGGCCGTCCGGAACCGGGCTTTATTTCGATGCTCTGATTGTTGTCTAATAGTGCCAAGATGTTGTGGATGCCGGAACGGGCGTATCCGGTGTCCACAAAGTGCCGCGTGATGTCCGTTTTCGACGCGGCGGGGTGCCGTTCTTTGAACGCGCACACTTCTGAACGGAGTTGCTTCTATGTTTTTGCCATCACGGTTAGAGTTCGACTGATAGAGCTGTCAAATTTTGTCTGCTGACTCATGGGTTACTATGATTGATGCTGCATGGGTAGTTTCGTCAGTGCGGGTGAAGGTAAACCCATGAAAAATCGACAATTTTTATCCATTTTTTTAAAAATGCAAACGTTATCAGAAATTTGTTCCGCAATATCGGTCTTATAAATTAAGCAATTACGGTATCAAATCATTATCCAAATACTTAAGTTCAGGTTTTTGTTTAGTATGCAAATATCAGAATCTGTATTCGGCATAGGGCGTCACAATATCAGCATCAATCGACGAAATCGATGCGACCAAGAGACTGATAACTTTCCTTTTCTGTTGAAGTCGAGCAATTTCGCAGCATTCTAGCACCTCAGTTGGCGTCTACAATCAAATTTTCAATTGTGTGTCTCTCATTATCCCGTCGCTTCATTCGTTTTTCTTTCAAGCTTTGATGAAGCGGACGAGTGAAAGAGCGGTTGACTTTGATAGTTTCGTCTTTCATGAAACACATCAACCGAGGTTTCATGACGTATACGACGGAAAATGAATATGTATATTTAAAGCATTGCTCACGTAAAAACACTTTAGACTACATGTAATATATATTTATCACCTTCTTCGACTAGTCGTACAGACTGAACTTTTCTACTTATAATCTAGAGATTACCATTGATCCTAATTCTAAAAACGTTTTTAGTCAAGTTAAAATCAAAATTCGTCACAGACAACATTGACCAAGCGAAGACACGAATCGAAAGGGTTGATGTAGCCGTAGTTTGTGCTGTGGTATGGGACTGATATTAAAGCTGAGTTCCGAAACCATCGGGGAGGAACGTTTAGTGGAATCTGTGCGAGAAGTTCAGGGCACAAAATCACGTGTTAACTTATTGAAGCATATGTTTTAATTGAAAAAGCTCATCGTTTGACATATTCGATTTAGACCCCTTGTGCCACCTCTGAATGTCAAAAAAAAATAGCTTAATTTTTGGTATGATACAAAATCAGTCCCAATAATCTTTTTTCCAATAGGAAAACATGACCCGGAACGATTTTTAAAAATTAGCCCCACCTTAGTGAAAATACGACTCAACTGTGCATCATTTTTTAAGGTTGATCAGGAGAATACTAGCATTAATTTAGTGCATCTATTTTAAGATGGATTAAATGAAAACTTCCCCAATGGGTCTGGATTCAATCCCAGCCGAGGTTGGTGTGATTTTTCTGAGGCATAAAAATCTCTGGTCACGTCTTCTTTCGAAGGGAAGTAAAGCCGTTGGTCCCGGCCCATGTGTGTTGTTGAATGGGTGTGATATCTTAGGCAGGTGTGTAAGTTGCCTCCGTCGGTGATTGGCACTAGATTGCGGGAAAAAGACCGACGTAAAATAAAGGAATGAATGAATTAATGTCGAATTAAGTGGAATTAAAGTTAGCTTTCTTTATTATGCAGTAATGAACGATTCTGCAAATGGTGATCCATCCCTAACTCCAAGAAAATCCGAATAAAGCTCACACGATAAGTTTGTTCAACACTGAAGAGCAAAGTTAATCCTAAGTTTTTGATTCCAACCAAATCGATTTCCAAACCTCTACCTAAGCAGATTTATTTTGATAGATTAACATTCGAATGGCAATCTATTTCCACGTTTGTTTCAACATCACCGACGAAGACGAAAGTTATAAATCTCTCTTTCCCTATCGCACGATTCGCTTTGTTTGATCACCAAACACCACCCGAGCACCACTTCAAACGTTCGTCGACACCCAAAGTTTAACTGGAGAATTTCCCACCCACTTTCGTTCCCATAACCTCATGAATTTGTTCGGAATATTTATGAGATAGTACCTGCCTGACACTGAAACTGCTGATTTCATCACTTGGTCTTTGTTACATGCTGCTTAGCCCACCACAGCAACGATCAGCTTGGCTGGGATAAACCAAAATGCCAAAACAAGGAACCATGAGTAGGCAGCTGCCAACTCAGCATCCCACATTATTCCCCTCTTGCAAGCGAATAATGGCGCAAGGAGCAGTCCCCACTGGCAATGGTATAGCCCCTCCAAAACACATACTTTGAAAAAAGTTGTCTAAGAAACGAAAATGGGGGTTCCTTGTTCTCGTGATGAAGGTCCGAACAAGAATGTAGCTAAAAATGGAATGATGTAAAGATACCGAAAAGGGTTCTGCCCACGTTGTTCTCCACTGAAAAGGGGAGCATAATTGGGCGACCACTTGCAAATTACATTAGTGAAATGTTTCGGAGAGTGTTGTGAATGTATTTCTAGGCTGGGTCACCGTGGAACGTGTGAAATATGTGTGCGTGGTAGAATGTTGTTTTCCAACTTGTCAAGAGGTAATTGAGCCACAATACCCCAGAAGTTTAATCCAGT